CTTGGGTCGGTTTCGTACAATTAGATTGGGAGTGGGGGAGTGGGTAGCTCATAGTGGGTAAATGCTTTTGACTGCTTCTCTGAGATTCGCCGTTTTGAGTGGATTGTAAGTTATTTGGTGGTAATGCTACGCGGGGAGGATGGGGCAGTATCAAGGATCGCTGAGCGAAACTTTCGGGTTTGAGTGTCGCTTACGGGCATGTGTGGTTTTGACGTGATTGCCTTCTGACGCCATCACGTTCCTATCTTGAGTCTAATATTCCATTCCTCCAACATTATTAATCACTGGTGAAAATCACTCCTAACATCATCACACGTTGTATAACAAAGGCAAACCATTGCGATGATCACTAGAGAACCGGTGGACATCAAGGTATAAACGTTTTCCCTCGTATGTGCTCAGAAATGAATTCAGCGCCCATTACTCGAAAGTGTAATGGTGTATGGATGTGTTGCACTTAGAGGGACAAGAACCTATGTAGTAAATGTTTTGGACATTCTGGTTTTGTTTTAGATCTCAAGATTCTGGGAACCGTATCGTTCTGAGTGGATAACTTGTTTATTGATTCTAATGCATGGATCACCTAAATACTAAATTTTAATTTGCTTCGTGGGTGATGTGCTATGAGGACGTGATAATATATGGTTCATAAGTCCATTGTTGACGGACTTGTAACCTGTGTAGAAAATTGTATGGGAATCCGTATTGTGATCAGGATTATCGTTCAAATAGGAACAGAAAAGACGTCTACGAACGATATGTAACAACAATGTTGCTCTAATTTCTTTGATCCGCTCATAAATATTATTTTATATGTTTCCTTTTGTAGATGAGTTATTGAGTACTACAGAACATTTTTTTTGTAAAATATGCGTTGTTTAAAATATGTAATTTATATACTCCTCTAACAAAACTATTCAGTATATAGTAGTTAAAAATAATTAGAAATTCAATACTTCAGATATTATTGATATTATATGTATTTGTGGACCCTTAAATACATTTTATTTGTAATGTCCATCAAGCGCCTTTTAAAATATATTTATACAATCTATATCACGTTCACGCTGAAACTAAATACCATATTTTCCCGAATATAAGTCGACTTCGAATATACAACAACCTCCTAATTTTGAAGAGGCCGCCTGAGAATTTTAAAAATTTTAATCTAACTCTTACCATTTAGTTTAAATAAAATTACAAAAAAAAAACTTATTGACTAGAAAATTGCCTTGTTGATGACAATGTTAAAGAGTTATTGCTGAACTATTATTTTCTCGTTCCTTAATATCATCATAATCATGGTTTCTGACACTACTCTCATCATCTTCACGTGTATTATTATTTCTTTCTTTTTTTCTTTTCGACCGAGATATTCCGGAAAAAACGTCGTCTTGTATTGGGGTAAATACGATCCTCTGATCCTTGATACTCCTTTGATTGTTTCACAAGTTTTGAGGAAAGAGAGACGTAGTGCTCGATGAAAAACATCTCCTTGTTTACACAGTGACATAGCTAATGCGGTTGTCTAGAAGGAGAGTGGAAATCCAATGCGGCCTGAACTACAATAGTGTGCGTCGGCGGGGAGTACGGCGAGAGCAGGAAAGATGTAGAGAGACACTCGACCTGCCGCTTCGTCTCTCGACGCTGACGGAGTTCCTTCGACCAACAGCCTCGGTGTTGAGACGGAGGGGGGGGGACGTCGGGGGTGGCGATCGGCTGGTGAATGGCGAGAGGGGCCGGGCGGGGAGGGGAGGGGGAGGCGAGGCGACCCTTCTCGTTCGCCCGATTGCTTCTTCGCCGCCGCTGCAGCGCGAGAAGCCCCCGAGAGACCGGGCCATCGATCGCGTGGGGCGGAGACACGCCGGGGACGAGGGCTTTGGCGGTGTCAAGGGCGGAGGCGACGAGGCAGATGGAGTCGAAATGGACCTTGTCGGAAAGAATTGGATTCGTGTCCTTGGTGTGTCGGAGAAAGGAGAACTGATTCAATCGTTTGGGAACATCATTGACCTTTCAAGTAATACATTTTGATACAAAAGAATTTGCAGACGTTTATTTTTTGAAGGACTATGATGATAAATGCAATTCATATGTGTGGTAATTGGTAGTCGCTTGTAATTCATAAAACCTTCATACCACCTTCACTACCACCACCGCCACCACCACCACCGAATCATCCACACTATTGTAATTATCATCTCTGTTCTTGTGAATTTTATGTAATCATACCTTTTTAACATGCCCTACTATACTTGTAGAAAAACCTTTTCGATTCGTGCAGCCGTTATTCATTCAATCCGCAGGAGTACGACTCCTTCAATTTGTTTAAAATGCCGCAAAGAATAGTGGTAATTCACACTTCTTCTTGCGTTTTTGGAATCCCTCCCGGGTTCGATTCCCGGTCGGTGCAAAGTTATAACTGTGCGTTTTCCTTACAAATGCTCCGGGTATATTGCTGTGTGCCGATGAGAAGGCCCACGTAAGGTTATGAAGATCAGAATATTCGGTGAAGGAATGTCTTCGTGCTAACTACACTATCCCCTTATTCCATGGCCGAGAGGTTGGACCACCACTAGTTGGCCAAGACCGGTAGAGTGAAAGGACAGGACAGTAATACAGACTACAGAATTTGCTTCAAAAATAGCTAGATTTGATTGATATAATAGCCAAGCTGTCAAAATAACCAAATCTTGCATTCCACTCGTAACTATAGATATGGACATTCAAGAAAACATGCTCATATTTTACAAAAGAAAAGAAATAAAACAAATTTTCTAGAAAAATAGGCAATTTCAATTATAAAAGCATATAATGAGTTTA